GATTTAGAAAAGTGTATGTGCAGTTATTTATTTAAAAGTCTAAATAAAATTTACCTATTCTATTCTATTATGAGACGCCACACATCGTAAATTGTTGGGTCTATGTCATGCTAATTTCCTCCCGATCGGTTTTCTTTTACCGAACAAGCATTAATTGCTCTATAGAAATTGATATATAAACCCCCCTAGGCTTCACAGTAGCCAATTGTAATGAGCGGGTAATTCGTTTTTAATAAAAACATTCGGCTAATATGTCTGTGAGTCAGTGGCACGTCGAATTAAATTACAAAGAATTGAACCGCAAATTTATTCTTTTGTTTTGTGGTTTTTTGACGTCTTCAGACGTTCACATGTATGGTGCGGAAAATCTAGTTCTCGGGTATGAATAAAATGAGCAACTATTTAACTTAATACCCAAAAAACATCTTGCTTCTCTTAGACAAACTTAGACATTATCATTCGAGGTGGGATTTGAATATGTAAAGTATATAAGAAAATATGATTTAAGTTTTATACCAATATTTGTAAGAAATAACGAATTTATAATTCATTATACACAATTCGCGATTCAACCGTATTTCTTAAATGTATTTAAGTCCAGTGAGTACGAGCAATGCAAAATTAGCAAAATGTATTTGTATAGTAACACTTCACTGGAAGCGTTTAGAACCGAATAAACTGAAGCACGCCACATACCAAATCTATGGTAATCGCTGTGGTGGTGCTGTCAGCTAATAACGTTATTATATCAAGCAGATATTCTTTTATAGAGGCATGCACTCACATGGGATGACCATGGGCTGCGGCAGCTGCCGTAGGTTCGTAGGCTCGTTTGTCCCCCTATCGTATAAAAACTACTTCGTGAAAATATGTACATGATAAATTAATTGTGTGCAATGGAACCACAACAATAACGTGTCCTGCATGGGTTAAAATTAATTTTAAAGCAGTATTAAAACTTGATAACTAGTCTAGTCTCTATGTAATTTATGAATAGGTATGTCGTATAACTTGAGTTCGAGTTTCGATCCCCGACAAAAAAATAATTTATTTCGATTCTGACAAGATCACCTACTTTAAAATAAACAGACCCAGTACGGCCCGTATACTGGGTCTGTTTATTTATTTGGAGAGGGATAACAGGATATCAGACAGGATTAGACTTATTTATGCCTAGTTAAGCCTAAATTTACGCGTATTATAATAAGTATGAAAATCACCTACATGTAACTTTCGTTACAATTACTTTCTAAGCTATCCTTTCTAATTAAGATCGAAAAAATTATGTCAATATTAAAACGAATTAAAACCAGTTCGATATCTTTCTTAGATGTCAATATTTCAACAGTAAAATTA